ACACAATCATTTGCTTCCTCTTTCACACACACAGACACCCTTCAAACACCTTCAAGTATGTGCACATACGCATAAATTCACACAAACAGCATTGTGGGAATGCAAACAAAAATTCACACACATTCTCTCTCTCTGTATCATTCTGTCTTATCCGCATGCAAACACACACTCATGGCCATACAGGCACACACAAGTCATTAACCCCCCTTGACAATGTATGAATGCGATCTTAAAATGGCAATCCTCCATGTGCATTTTTTTTTCTAACGAGGTAAATAAAGACCAAGAAGATTTAGTGTCTTAACTAAATTGACTGAATCATGCAAAGCGATGTTGAGTCATTTTTTTTCAAACAGTATTTTATGTTCTTGTAATTGAGGATCATAACTTTTGTGGAGTAGAAAATGTGAGAAACTACAATTTAATCCAAATGCCAAATGTAGTTTCAAAAAAATGAGAAATTCGCCAAACAATAAAACACTTGGACAGATCGTCCCAATGGCAAAGAAAAAAACAAGTCGGTGCGGTTTCATCTGGTTACTTCTGTGGTTGTGATGTTCCACAGTGTCACAGCAACCAAGACACAACATATTAGTGGAGTGAGGACATACTTCACAGCGACACGAGACACTCCAGGTGGTCCAACAGTGAGAGAAATCATATATAGGGGGTCTTACCTTACCGAGCCAACGCTAAAACAATCCGACACCAGGGAAGATCAGCTTTCCAGTTTACACCTATTTGGCTCCTTATGTTACTCCTCATGAGCCCCATTTTAAAGTTTTCCTTTCAAATGGAACAAAAAGAAAACTCGGTGATCCAAAGGCCCATAATGTAGCTGGCAGTGAGTACGCAACGGGGATTAATTCAAAGTTATCCCCTTAACTGAAAATAACCAAGGCTGCAAGCTGGCAAAATTGAAGCTGCTCGTCCGCTGTGTGCTGATTGGCAGCGATGCTGCAAAACTGTCAGCTCCAAGATGAATCGACAACAGATCTTTGAAATTAGGCCTGTGTCACTGTCTAAATGTGCAATCTCTGGGGTGTAATTTGTTACACCACTTTTTAGCCACTAGCCACTGTAGCGGCCTTGTTCTAAGGAAGGCGGTGTTGGTAGGTCAACTACTGTGACGAACGGATAGGTTGCTTAGATGTTTTATGTAGACATTCGTGGTCTCTGGGTGATGAGGCCTCTTGGCAATCCCCTGGGTTTCCCTTTAGTGTCACCATGAGGTTGACATTCATTTGTATTTATTGATTTTTTTTGTCTGTCTGTGTGTGTGCAAAGGATGAATCATACTGACTCTAGCATGGACTGTAAATGAAGATGGACAAACTCTCTTTGATGTCAACCACAGGTTTCTTAAACCGCAGTTTTGAAGCTCATGGTGGTCCCAGCTGTGCAGCGCCTACCTCTACCTAACGTCTGACTAAACCAAAAATGAGCAAAGAGGTGGTGCATTAGCAGAGCTGAGGTGGATCGTGTGCTGTCCTATGATGACAGCGACCTGTCACACAAAGCAGCTTCTAATTATGCATAACTTAAAGTCTAATTTAGTCCTAGTTCGTAGCTTAGTTATAGAAAAAAAAAAGCCTCCCATACAGTTGTCATCAGTGGGGAAATTAGCAAGAGACTGTATAAAGGTTTATGCTGTGAAGTTAGACATTTTAACAAGACGGTCTATGGAGATTGAATCGCTTTTGGGGCCAGCCCCAAGTGGGCATTTGTGGAACTGCAGTTTTTGGAGTTTATTTCACATCCCCAGAGGATGTCTAATGAACTAATGAACAATAAGGTTGACAGCTTTATGTGTGAAGGGAAGTGTCTCACAACTGTTGTATGGATCATCATAACATTTGGTACAGACGTTAATGTTCAACTCATAGTGTTGCTAGCATGGCTGAAGACTGCTACATCTGTATAACATTCTTGCACTGCAAGCCAATTTATGTCCTAGCATACAAATTCTGAACATTCTCCTCTTTCACATATTTTCGCAGTTTTCAGGGATGTATCTTGGGTTTTTTTGTCCATTCATTCCATGTTATTAACCCATAAGTAGGCAAGTAACTAGTGGCGAGTCGTACTTTCAGTCTTCATAGTTTAAAATGTGACTACAAAGCATTGTTTTGGTGCACATCCAGTGCAATAAAAGTAAGGTTTGTGAGCAAGATAGTTATTCAGACCTAGATTTTGCTATTAGCTGTTAACAAAAGAATGCCAGTGCCAGTTGACTGACAAGCAGGTGCTCTCATAAAGTGAATGCCTACATGGCCAATAAATCTGTTACCACTTTATCTGAGCAGGCTTTTGTTCGCATGTACTCGAATGAAACACTGCATGCTCTCAGTTCACAGTAATGCGAATGCGGAGTGCACCACGGAGGTCAGGCTCCTAGAATATTTGAGGTTTGATGAAACATCATACACGGAGGAAAGACCTCATCAAAGAGCATCGATATCTGACAAGTTGTGACAATGATCCAGCAGCTGCCTATTTAGACTCAGCTGCTCCCCGTCCCCAGACACCACCTCGATACGATGTGAGGCCCTTGGTTCTCTCTGAGAGCAGGTCGGTGGTGCCGAGGCCCCCCACGAGGGTCTGGCGCCTTCTTAAGTTTTGCCATCTCTGGTCATAATAGTCGAGAGGTTGCCCTGCTCTGACGGCTCCGTCAGCGGTGGAGAAACAGTGCCGGCTTTTCACTAATGTGCTGCCATCCGAGAGCAGCTGTGAAGAGGGCCTGTTGCTGAGCAGATAAAGACAGGGGTGAGCATAAACACTAAACAGAGGTTGGGCTCACGGGCTTTGATGCTCGTGACGTACGCATAGCTGCAGCAACAGTGGTCTTATCTGGAGTGGGACACCGTGGTGCGACCTAGTGCCGACCCCCCCACCTCCCTCTCTTGTTTAAAATGGAGGCCGAGCGGACACACTTGCCATTCTGAAACATTTGCAAGATTCCTTACAGTCCTCAAGTGTGAAGATTTACGACTGAAACAACAGTCAGTGTGTGTCCAAAAGTAGGCTGGCTGCATTCTCTGCACAGGGCAGCTTTACCACAAAGGTTTGACAACATACCTCTAAAGTCCACACATGACTCGAGTACGGTTTTTTTTTTGTTTTGTTTTTTCAAATCTTAACAAGAAGTTATTCATCCCGGTGGGGGGGCGAGAGTAAGAATAGAGTCAGAATTGTGACGCCTCACCTCTTCAGCACACTTGCAGGCCGAGGAGATAATACACCCATCAATCAAAGTGGCATGAGCGCGGTGTGATGGTGGTAGTGAGGGGGGCTGGCGGGAGGGGATCTGTGATACTAGGTGGTCTGGCTATTCTAGGACAATCTGACTGACTACCACCACCCTTAAGTAGCAGAAAGCTCCTTTTTTTTTTTCATCCACCATCCATGGCTTTTGGAACACCCTTCTCATCCACAGATTTAACACCTGAATTTTTTTTTCGCCCCTCATTCTGTGAGAATTTATTTTGAAACTTGGCACTGCTCACCCTGTAACTGTGCACTGCCTTGCTGACACCTCCCTAAAAATAGTGCCCACTAATCCTCAAGCCCCCTCTGAGAATTATTACACGTTACCAGGCACTGACTAACAGATCAACTGTACCGAACCTCCAGAAACATTAACTTTAAAAAAATAAAAGCTATGTGAGTTTTATTACAGGGGAAATTTCAGTTCATTCCCCACTTTTGACACTTGCAATAAACCTCAAGGCATGAATTGAGAGAAATCTAATATGTTGTCCATCACCTCCATGCTGCAGCGCTGCACCCTCTTGTGGGGTTGATGAATACAGCTTTTAACAGCAGCCTCACATGTGAACAACTGCAGTGGCAACCTATCGAATAATTGAGATCATGTTGTCGAAACTCACACCTATGTGTCGGGAGGAGTTTACATGTTGCTCAAGGACGCTTGGAAAGCCAACAGCCTGCTGCAGATTTAAGCTGTATGAAGCGCTGTCTGTTGTAAATCTTTTGGTATCATTGGTGCTTCAATATTTGAAAGCTTTCAAAGCAGTGATGCAGCTGTAACTGGAAAATAAGTTTAGCAAAAACAGGAGATTTTGCCAGTATTTAGTTGATTGAGGGCTAAATTGCAGGAATAATAACGCTGTAAGAGAAGCACTTTTTCCAATGAAAACAGACATTTTTCATCATGGTAGCCGCTTTAAATGAACAGATCTCAGTAACTGTAAAACTTCTGGTCACATGCATACCTCTTAATGATTTATCTTTTTCTTTTCTATCTTTTAGATCTTTCTAACACATGGTGATACATTTTTATGTCGCCCACTGGGAGGTAAAACACTGCCTTTGGATGACAGGTTCAACAAACTGTGGTCCCAAGTTCTACTGGACTCCACAATAGTTATTTTTCATATCAGCTTTGAGACATTTAAATCACAAGTTTTACATGACGATCAGTGCGGCATGTCTTCGCGTTTGGAAGAAGGAGACATAAATCGTGTCTGTAATGCACTTCGGCAGCCAGAAGGCTGGAAACATAATGTGCCAGGCCTGCTCGCCCCTGGAATACAGCGATAGGGGCGCAGCAAATAAGAGTGTCATGTACCCCCTGTGGGGACTTTGTAAAAGGAGACCCAAACTGAAAGGGACAGCTGAGCCAACTCACATGCGTTTTACATCAAGTGTAAGGACTTTTGGTACCACCTCCAAGTCTGTTTTCCTGTGGTTAGCATGCAGCCTCGTTCACGACTTTCAGTGGGAATAGGTATTTCCCCTCAAACGTCACTGCAATTGAGCCTCAGGAGTAAACAAAGCAAATTAAAGTACAAAACCTTCCCAAGCTGTCAAAATTAATAACAAATGATAATCAATTTCTGCCTGTTTCAGATTAATGAACCTGAGAACGTTTCGCATTCAGATTCAGAACATCTGTGTTGCTCTCAGGCATCTCACAAATAATGCCTGCATACATCAAATCCACATTTCTTCCAGACAGAAAGGATGAGGAGACCACAGACTGGACCGCTTGTCTTTAATAAGACTTAAAATACTCCCACTGACCTTACAATGCACATCAAAATATATTTATAGCATATACACGCATCAGCATTTCAAATACCTCTGAGTCCACAGAATCTCAACGCAAATGAGAGAAAACTGAGCCATGCTGCTACGTGTGGAAAAAACAAAAAAAACAGTTTCAACTGTTAAATAGTGAAGCAAATCCCTGCTTATAGAGATTTGACCTTAGATGACTTCTGGTTTCATAATCTTTAAAGGTTGCACACTCATTATTACATCCAGTTCTGCATACAATCAATCATAGATGAGGTTTCAGTATGAACAGACAGTATGTTTACACTCAGTGGGAAACTGTTCCTCGTGAACTTACAATTCAATTCTTTTAATTTCTCAGCTCAATTTTACAAAAAACTGTTACAGGTAGCTTTATACAAACCAGGATGCATACTACCTGGGTTTTATTTAGAAGACCTACTCATGGCAGAGTAGCATCAAATGGCTCCCTTTCATACGACTTTAATCCACAGACCCTTCCTCTGTCCAACACACAAAGTTCATTTACATTATTCACAAAGATGTACCCAGTCTTTTATATTTCTCTTTCAGTTAAATAACTAAAGAACAAAGAAAACAAACAGTTCTTTTTTTTTTTCAGCGTAACATAATAATTACTCAGCTGTACTGTCATGTACAAAGGATGATACTGTTAAGTAATAAGGTGCACGGAATCGGTGCCACAAAGATCTTTACAAATGATAACACTGATGCACCTCTGTTGCATGCAGCAACACCTTTCATCCCGTCTTGTTTGTCGCATGTGTCCTGGTGCTTTGTCGTCGTCTTCTGTGGCCCACTTCATCTTCAGAGAAAAGCACGTTTGCTGTACAGAGCTTAGAAGGAGGTTGTTGATTGGCACAGGTCACAGGGCTCGCCATGCGAGCGTTGGCAGGGCTGGGAAAGGTTGGTGGCCTAAGGCGATGAGCACTTCAACACTGGAATATGTCACAGGACCTCTGTGAAACAGACAGAGTGACGGGTTAAGGGTCTGAAAGAAGAAGAGCCGTACAAAATGAACGAATACATGGGAATAGAAAAAAAACAGAGCTAGTAGAGGGTTAGCCTCGCTGGACTGAGTAATGGCGTGGTCTGTAAACCTTCGACCTGTTGACAATACTAAATACAAAACGATGCTGAACACGTAGGGGGCAAAACCCATAAACCTTTACTGTCTTGTTTACACGGGGCAAATAAAAAGGCCACGAGAGTCAAGGGAAAAGCATGTCATAGTCAAATACAGCCAGCCTGTAAAACACTGAATTATTTGACAGACAATGCCACATGTGAGACCAAGGACCATCAAATAGCTCCTGGGAAATATATAGACCTGTGGAGTTATCCTGTAACATTAGGTGAGTCTAGCCTATTAATATTACCTATCATTACCCTCCGCCTAAATTCTGCCAGGTCAAAGTCATCTCACATATTCAGGTTTACATGAGTGAAAATAATAAGCGAGACTGACAGGGTGGTGATAAAATGAAGACATTAAAACATTCATTAAAATGAGGCATTAGAGGGCTAGCCAGGGTGATTGTTCTTTGTTTGCTTTGCATCATATTCATCATCGCTGGCTTGTCTTCAGGCTAACAGGTGAAGGTTAAGCTCCAGCTCTAGGGAGGGGGGAGAGTAGGGTGCTGCTGACGTTGCTGCCGGGAGGGGAACGAGTGAGGGGGTTATATGGTGCTTAATTGCTCTGGAGTCCTGTTTCCAACCCTTGGCAGTGAAGCACTTGTGGATAGGGTCTCCTCATCGCCTCTGCCATTCTAGGAATTCCTCACTGGGTCCAGGCCCAAGTCAGTGAGGCTGCTGAATAAAAGCTGTCAACAGTATACAGACACCCTGCATCTCTTCACCCGTCCCTACGCTATTTCCTTCATATCCCATCTCCACCCTTTTGTGAGTGTAAGTGGACTCTCCCTGACACACCTTCCTCTCCTTGGGGGGTGCTCACTTTCACTGGGGTGATGACCTGCACGTTAGGTTCAGCTTCATAGCTGCATCATGCCAAGGACAACAGCACTAGCTGTGGTGTATTACTGTTTGCACTGATACTGCTTATCAATATCAATTTATTAGCAATAATGGACCATAGTTGATCCCTGCAGGTCCCTACCCATGGTTTTGGAATCAATCTCAGGTCTAATCAGCTGACTAATGGATACTAAATCATTAACCCATGTTCACATCATTTATTTAACTCATTGTAGGTGCTAACTATACACACACTTGACAAAAGGAGAGTTGAACTATGAGCTATGCAGCTGAAAACTGCATTTCTTTGTCTGTATGTGATGCAACAACAAACTCTGTCAGCACTGATTGGGACGTGTAACCACACTTTTGAATATTTAGCCCTCAGTGCTTGCAGGAGAACAACAGTCCTCTTTGCTCGCACACAGGCTCAGAGATAAAACTCTTTTCTGAATTTGAAATAGCAAAAATGCACTACAGTTTTAATGTAATTGCAAATTAGGAACAGAGTCAAAGAGATAAAAAGTGTAAGATACCAGTTGTGTAGCAATAATAAGTCGGAAATCTAATTTCCTCATTTCTTCATAACCTGAAAGCAGAACCAGTCAAGCTTATCAGCACTACTGTCTTTAATACTGTTCAATACCAAGTTTCAGCAGCCATACCTATATTGTACCCTGTATTGTAGTCTTGATTGGGGCATGTGAACTTGGCCAATTGTAAAACCAGCTCATCGCAGATGAACCATGACTGCAAATATTTTTCTAGGGACCAATAAGGAAGCAAAGCCAGTGACTGCATTGACACTCTGGGCTTCACTTGTTCAGGTTTATCAGGCGTTATCTTGGATTTTTAACTTCTTGTAGCGATAAATGAACATGCTTTATCTTACATTGGACTACAGGCAAAATGGGACCTTACTAACCTCACTTTGAATTTGTCGTTCTTGCATTTTCTCCAATATGTTGTTGCTGCTTCAATAGAAGCTACAACTTAGCTTAGCCTAGCACAAAGAGTGGGATCAGGGGGAAACATCCAGCATGTGTCTATCTAAAAGGGTTTGAAAAAAGAAACTACCTACCACACACATCTTGTTTTGCTTAATCTGTACAAAAAATAAAACATAATACAATTAAAATGACTGCTTTCTGTGTGCCTTCTCCAACCAGTCAAGGTGCAGTTTACATCCATGTCTGTCATCACGTCTGTCATTTCTTCATCATTCTATCCCACTAGACATTAAAAGTTTGTGTGAATTAGCAAGAGAATTTCTGAGTTATGGCCGGAAAAGTGTTTGTGAGGTCCCAGTGACCTTGATCTTTGATATTTTAACTACCCAAATCTAATAAATCAGTTGATGTGCAAGTGAATTATTAGACAGAAAGAAACTCCCAACAGGCAAGACTCTCCTGTTCTCTCCACCAACACACCACATTACAAAGCTGTTTTTAGGACAAGCCCACCAGTTGTGCAACTCGCTGTCTGAACAGCCCACGTTTGTCGCTTTTATACTTCCTTTCCTCTACTCTGATTATATGTCCGTGGTTAATTTTAGCCTGCTCTAAGTGAAAAGTCGTTGCCACCATGTTTGTTTACTTTACAAGGTTTGCATTGTGGTCTTTTCTTTTGTGTTTTCGAGCACTGTGTACCTGCAACATGCTGAGGCTTCATGGGGCCTGCCTTTTTCATGAATGACTCGTCGCTTTCGAAAGAGAGGATGGGCTCGGTGGCCATGCTGGTCTCAGACTTATCCCGGGCTCCATTAGTGGTGTTGCCGTGATTTGTGAGATGGATGATGTCTTCGAAGTGGGCAGAATCTCCTTTAGTGCACAGACCATTTTCATGTCTCACAGGCTGGACCCCATTAACCACTTGGACCGAGTGGCTGCTAGAGAGGGAGACACAAAGCACAATGTGGTTATAGTTATGATGGATCAGAATGAGTCATACAACAAGTGAGTCATTCCGCCACTGTCCAATTACAGGAGTCATTTTAAACCTACCCCAAGAAGCGTGTTCGAATACAAAGAGTAAACATTTTCAGAAACCGAATCGTTCTCCCGGTGTTACAACTGTTTACTCTGGGTCTGAAATTTGGGGCTCCTTGTGTTTTCCGTTGAGGTTTACAACAATGCGAGCATTCTGCAGACTTGATTGGTAGTCAACTTCCAGCTTGGTTTTCTGGCACACAAGTTTTATACTATTCACGGTGGTCTTGCATCAGTGTGAGCAGAAAGAAAAAAAGGAGTTTCAGTATTACCTTTCCGTGACATTGGTCTGTCCATTTTCTGTCTTATTGTTGGGCAGGTTGACCTCTGGCTTTGGCTGATAGTCAGCAGATGCTGGAGGAAGCAAAGTAAAACAGTCATTGCCTGCAATAACCGTGTAAACGAGTGTGACCACATACATTCAACATCCCACCCTACCTTGCATGGTCAACCACAGGGTGACAAATACCATTCATAATCATTCTTCAGCTGTGTCAGGGTAACTTTAATCGGTAGAAAAGCGATGCCAAATTTTTTTGGGGCATCCTTCTGCATAGTCACCCCCACCCCCACCACACACACACACCAACACACCCATACAGAGCTTAACTAAGGACATGGCTGTGGTTAAGACAGATTTCCACACCCCTGACTAAAGTGGAGGCATGCCTACCAGGCCTCCGACCACATCAGTGGCTGACTAATGTCTTCCTGCACTGGGAACTCTGAAATAAACAGAATTTCTTGAAGACTACATCGATTAGCTTCATCTTACTCGTCTATCATGTATGACATGGAAGCCAAAGCTGATGCTTCTCAAATTACTTGTGTATAAAGTATTGAGAAAATGAGTGCATAATAGCAGGTAGGCATACCTGAGAGCTGTGCAACATTACATATCCTTGTTTTATTATGTGTTTTAAAAATAAATGTTAACTGCTGCAGGCTGTAGCCATAAGCCTGCTCTTCCTCTCCACTCCTCAGTCCCAGGGACTGGACAACAAGTAAGCACACATGGGTCCTATTCAACAGAGTAGAACAACTCCAGCTGGTCAGGATATGAGGCAGTGATATAATCTAATAACCCTTTTATACAAAGTGATTCACTGTGAATTCGACTCCCATGGGAACCGAGGACGAACACACATCAAATGCGCCTTTGTTTAGTAGACATATGTGTGAGATAACAAAGAGTAGAAGCACATTTATGTGCAATGAGACATCAGTGAAAATTAGTGTGATAAGCAAAGTGCAATATCTGCAATGAATGAGTCAGGCATGATCTAAAATTCAGTAGGTAGTGTTTGTGAATTTGTTCACTGAAGCAGTACGAGTCTTTGAGTTGATTCCGAAAACCTGCACAAATCATCCACTTTGTTTTACAACCCTTCCCAGACAACACTTCAATAGTGATCAGTTACGCCAATTATCCAAAATGACTTCTGCAGATTAAATGCTCATAATGTGTAATCCTTTTTCTTCCATCACCTGAAGAGGTTTTCTAAAAGGCAGATGAGTCCACTCTGATGTTCTGCTTACCTTTGCTGCTCTCTGCCTGTTTGTCATTGACATGTGCAAGTGGGGAGGACTTTGTCTCTTTCTGTAAAAGTAAGAGATAATATCAGTCACTTCTACTGGGAAGCTGAGATCTGGTTTCTTGTCTTGGTGAAAAACTGAAGAACACATGTACCTTGTCACCGCCATCTGTTTTGCGTGTCCTCTTCATGATCTCCTCCAGACGCTGAAATAGTAAAAAAAAAAGGAATAAATTAGGGAAAATGTTGCATAGAAGAAAATACCAATAACCACAATCTATACGGAACAGTAATATGAAAGCAGCAAGAGATAATTCTATCCATTTACTTTTAACATAGGGCTGTAGTTTTTGTTCCAACACAAGGCATCTCTACAAAACAATGGATGTCAACCGAGGACACATTACACTGAAAACAACAATGGGCAGATCGAGACACCAGAAATCAGTAAATGATGTTGTCAGTGCAGGCTTATGGAATCTAATCCCTCTCTTCCTGAAGGGTTTGGCAAAGTAGGTGCACATTTTGGGGTCACGCTGTGAGACACGATCATCCAAAGCGTCATGTGGCAGATCGTCTGTCGTGCCATGCTGTCTGAAACAATTTCTTAAGATGACAAAGGGTTGAGTTGTGAAGTGTCTGGCTATGGCTCTAAATGATAAGCCAGCATCCAGCTCGCCAACAGCTTGTGTTTCTCCTGTCATCTGTGACATTGTGCCATTTGTATAAAGCTAGCGTTTTAGGGCAACCTTTTATATTCACCGGTAAAAACGGATTACCGACATTTGCTTGTTCCGTTTATGTTTTTGTACAGCTTTTGTATTTTCTGTACATTTTGTTCTATGAAGGTGGACACAAGTATATTAAAGGATCAGTGCATTTGTGTCTCTAAAATTAAGAAATAGGCAGCTTTTATAGTACCAGTAAAAGATATTCTTACAACATCCACAAAAAAAAGTAGCTTTGTTTTCCTTAGTCCAAAAAAACTGGGTCAGGTTTAGTCAGCTGGAGTGGGCCCACACACCTTGAGACGGTTTTACCAGAAACTGAGCTTTCAATTTTGCTGTTCTTTAATTCTCTTCACTAATGAAGTTGGGTTTTGTGTCATTTGTATCTCTTATTTTAAAAATACTATTATACTGGAAGGAACAGTGGCTCCTGTGTGTCCAGCTGGAGGGCTGTGTTGATAATAGGGAACTTGTTTATTCAGCTGGAACAACTGTGTATGATGGTTGAACAGTGAACAGCGGGATAGAGAAAAGAGGGCAGGACCGTGGTACAGTTCTGAAATACATTTCACTCCCGTCTGGCTAATTTGTATGCACAGAAGTTTGATACAAGATGCGACCTTCATTTGAGGACACGGCGAGCCTGGGACAGCTAGACCCCAGCAGCTGCCACTCATAAAAGTGAGGCATTTTTAAGATCTAAGATTATTCATGGACGGCCGCACACCCATGGCTTTGGCATCTAGTTTAGTTACAAAACGTCTGCTTCAGGACTAAAGATTTTGTTTGTCTATTAGGTTGCTTTTAACCACCTGTGCTTTGTTGAAGTGATAACGAGAGCAGGTCAGTTGGTTTTGGTATAAGACGGTAAGAGTGTGTTGTACAGTGTGACTGTGACTTTGGGGCAGAGGACGTGCTGTTCTTGTGGGTTTATTCCTGCACTGAGCCAGACTCTGACTGGCTGAGCCAGGCCTGGCATGTGTAGATAAGACCCTTTCACACATGGAGAGAAGATGAGGAGAGGGAAGGAAAGGCTTAGCTAGCATACAGAGGCGTGAGTTGATGTGGGTGGTATACTTGAGTAGATGGTCGCAGAGTGCACACATATCAGCTCGCATGTGCAAAGATCTGCTCAAATCCACACACAGATGACTGGCACAGCGAGCTCGCCATTATTAGTGTTTATATATAGCTTCACGCTCGCACACATTCTAAACCCTATTAAATCGTGGCATGCAGACAGCCAATCCAGGATAAGCCAAAAACATCATTAATCTTGGTTTGAGGGACTCAACTTCCAAGCCTGCCTTTGTCATGTCAAAAGGCAGACCACAGAGTGAATGTATCTCAGAATATAACACCGCCGCTGAGGGAGGAGAGCTTTAGTAAATGGCCTACAGAATTGATTTTGTGTTACTCTGAGATGTATGCCGTGAGAGCACAACTGGAACATTTTCTCCTCTCACATCAGTCAGTGTCTCGAGGCATGAAGGCTATTTTTATCCCCAAAATGTCTTCTACTTCTACTTTCATAATTCACAACTGTGCCGTTCTGTTTTGACATGGGTGACTCTAAAACCTGGCTGAAAGAACAATGATGGGAGGACAGATCCAATGCCCTACCTTTTTCCTCTCCAGCCTCTCCTGCTCCTCCTTCTGGAAGTGTTTCTCCCTCTCCAAACGCTGCTTCTCCGCCTCTTCTCGGGCTTTAGCCTCAGCCTCTTCTTTCTGAAAAACACACACAGGCGAGAACCCAACCACAATTTTAATGCCGGCAGAAAGGGGGGAAAAAAAACCTCTGCCAAAATAACATGCCTTTTACGTAACAAGGGTGTGGTTGCTCCCTGCAATTATTGTTTACAGCCACAAAGGGGACATTTTCTGTACCTTTGAGCCAAAAAGATCTATTTTGGACATTTACAGCCTCGTGAGGACCGCTCAGAGTAAAACACAATATATAAGCCTTTGCATAACTATAACGGATCGTCTTCAGCCACTCAAAAGTGCCACTTCTGTGACACACCACAAGGGGGTGGCAAAGCATAAGGGCTGATAACACATAATTTGTATAGATAAGGCAGAGCTACAGTTAATCACGTCACAAGTCTCCAGAATGAACAAATACTCTAATGAATAGCCACATTTGAGGGTTTATTGGAAATCTGTTTCTACTTATCAAGCTTCAATCTGTGCAGAAACAAACACAAAGACAGGATACGTCAACATCGCTCACTCAGGTTACTTGGCAAACTGAAAGAGAGACAGTCATTGTGGCTACCCGCTCACAATCCTAGATTAATATTTGTCTTTAGTGTAAACATATCATTGACAATGAAACAAAACAATACTGGGCTGGGGCTTTATGACAAGCCTCATATCAAATATGACTAGTGTAAGGTTGCATGCGTGTCTCCTGACCTTTACTCAAAAGGCGATAATCACATTGGTGTTTGATGCTTATGTGACGATCCGCACCTGTTTAGTGCAACACATAACACCCTCTATATCCAAGTTAGAGCTGACGGTCAGAATACCTGTTTCTGCAGGCGAAGGTTCTCCTCCTGCTCGGCTTTGGCTCTCTCCTCAGCCTCCTTCTCCTCCTGCAGCCGCTGAGCTTCATCCCTCCTCCGCTGCTCCTCGGCCATGGCTCGGGCCTCCTCCTCCCTGCGTCGTCTTTCCTCTGCCTCCCTCGCAATTCGCTCCTCTCTGAGGATTCTAAATAATTTGGGAACAAGGTTAGAATAAGATTTTTTTTTCCCCCCCACAAAATCATATGCCAAGGGCTTTGAACGTGGTAAACAATGTTAAAATGGAAATTAGTCTCCTGACAGGACGTTTCCTCTTTAGTTTATACTTCCCTCTGCTGAGTTGACATTGAAGCGAAAGCAAAACAAAACCAAACTATGTATGGAAATGGAAACAACTGGCATAACGTACGCCAACGAGAGATCACATCAGCTCGCAGGCTGTAAATAGTGACTTCCTGTGGTCAGAACTGGTTGACAGCCTCTCAAACTTCTGATGCTTCCACATCGCGGCCCGTGACAAGTGAAGGCTCATTCAGGCTCATGAGAACACATGGAGCCTTCCTGATTAGTCTTTTTTTTTTGATTGTTTATGTGGAAAATAGCGAAATGTCCTCTGTGAAACTTGTTTTGCAGCTTTAAACAGCTACAGCAGCAGATTCCACATGAGCCATCGCATGACATTACAAGAATCATTACTTTTGAAAAAAACTGTCAGCATGGGTTAGATTATCATATTATCTAGGGGCAAATGTGTACTTTAATATTAATTCCTCTTCATGATCTGTACAATTCCTGACATAGCTGCCAGCAGAAAAAAAAGAGCACTGTCTATGTAAAAAATAAAAACACAGTGGGAGTATAGACCACTTGGGAATTACTGTCATCCGTAGACACATTTAAAATTCCTTTCTCCTCTTAGACAGTAAAAGAACTTGACAGTTCTTTGACTATGGAAGGTTTGCATTGCGCTGACCTTCTCTGGTTTGAGACACATTTAAAAAAAAAAAAAAAAAACAGCTGACCTCTCCTTCTCCTCCTGTTCGCGGCGTTCCTGCTCCTCTCTCTCCCTCTGCTCACGAGCCTGCCGGCGTTTCTCGGCCAGGATGCGAGCGGCCTCCTCCGGGTCGTTGGTGCCGGCCATGGGCTTGGCAGACGGGGAGGGGGCAGGGGACACTGCACGGACAGAAGCTGTCGACTGGACTGGCTCAGGTGAGGAAGAAGTGGCACTGGTTGTCACTGGTGTGCTTGACGTATGAGCTGTGGCAGCTCCTGAGGATACGACGATGGCAGGAACCACAGGGGAACCTAAACAGGATTGCAGAGGACAGACAGCAAACATTAACCAACCTGTACTGTGACTGTTGGTGCTTCTTGTTAATTTTGAGGTGGTCCTTTCTCAAAAGGTTTGATCGTTATTGATGCAGACTTCTCTCTTTGCATGCATCGTCAAACATTCTGTCCCCAGCACAAATGGAAATTTCAAACAGTCATAGCTTGAGCTGAAGAACTCAGTAATTACATAATTAAGGCTGATTAGTCCGGCCTCTTAGCGCTGTGTGAGCAGACATAGACCATGGAGCTGTGTGTGGCTCACTGAGTGTGCACGCTTTGTTTTCACGGCTAATTACGCCTGATGTAATCTTTGCCAAATGCGACTTGAAAGAAATACAGATTTTCCAGTGGCTCAGTCACTTTTTCCATTAGATTTATTATTCTGTCCAATCAGAAGAAGGGACTCAGGCAGACGAGAAATGTTTGGGAATGTAAGGAAATCATAAACATACTGCCATGACGGGAAGCTACCCGAAATCCAGATGCACTGTATCTTATCTCAAGCAGTTGGTTTAAACGCAGTTGACAAATGAAATGAATGAATGAAAATGAATGAAATGAAAAATACTTTATTCATCCCAGAAGGGAAATTCAATATGATGTCATATTGAATATCAAATGATGAATGAATGTTGAATATCAAATGATGACAAAACAAAATTGACAATTACCAGAACAGCACTACAGAAAATTGAAAAAAATAGAACTTTCAACTGTACTTCAATGGATAAAGTTGGCTCAGTTGTCATTATGTGACATGAATGTACCTTTATGCTCATTTTTAATAAGAGCAAGAAGGATTTTGTCACAAAGTTTGTCTTACTGGGAAAAAAAACAATAACTGACTATGCATAAGAAATAAAATGCTAACATGTACTATTTCAAATCCAGTCTAGCCTGCAAGGATCTTTATCATCACCCCTTGTGGTACTCACTCTTTCTCTCCTCTGGGGTGGCGGCCCTACGAGGCTCCTTCACTCTCTCAAGCGGGACAGGGGAGGAGGTCCGATGGTCTATCCTGGCAGGGGTCCGGGCTCTTTTGGGGCGGCCCTTAGGAGTCGACGGGCTCCCGCGTGTTGACGGAGGCTTGGGGGAAGCAGCAGGGCTGGGAGAGGCTGTTCTGCCCTTGGGTGTGGCTGGGGATGCAGGCCGTTGTCTTGATAAAGGACTAGGGCTGGAGCAAAGATAAACACAGGGGGAAAATGTCAAACTGATGGGAAATGATGTCAGCAATGATCCTCTAATGCTTTTAAACCAAGTTCATTCATTTTAGATCTGGGCTGAAATCTCAGTCTAAAATGGCACATGTCCTGAAGAAACCTGACTTCAGCAAACAGGTTCACAGCAGACAGAGCACTCAAACATTGCATCATCCCTTAAAGTACATTATCAGTCAGCATCCCAGCAATTCAACACTTGGAGGGGAAACATCCATTATGCTGAATTTCTTTTTCCTTTAGACCTCTGGCTCTGGCAGCTCTGCCAAGCTCTTTGTTGCCTTTTTATTGAGTCAAAAGAACTTTATTTTTTTTCTTCTATTTCATCCCTTCTGTCATGGATGTCATTTATTCTGTGGCCTTGGGCTTAGAGGGTAAATTCCTAGGCTTACACTCAATGCATAGGCACAAGCAGTGCATGAAATATGAAGTCAGTGGCGTGCAGACATAAACACAAATGACCTGACTAACCCAGTCATTGACCAGAAATAAGCTGCAGGTCAGGGGATGGGGATTTACTATAGAGTGTATAAATGCAGATTATCCTAGTTCAGACTTTTAAAAAGCTGCTTATGGTATGTAAAGTAATGTATTTTTAAAATATGTAGCTAATTCATTTAATCTACAATGAAACAGGAGAAAGATATTTAGAAAAGGTTGGAATTTTTATGTCACTGATGCATCAAACTGAAAAGTTGGTAAACCAAAGCCCCCTCCTTTTTTTAATTGATCACATTTAAATGAGGTGACAGATTCAAAACTGAACTGACCTTGAAGTAAAAAAAAATATGTGAACCAAGGAAACGCAGTGCATGTCCTACCTTGGATCAGGTCTGTGTCTCATACTGGGTAGAGACTGTCTCTTCTTCAGCACCTTCTCTTTAGTGATGGCACTTTTTTCCTTCTCATTCTCCCGCTCTTTGTCTTTCTTTTCTTTCTTGTTTTTGTCCATCTGTTTGACAAAAGGATAGAAATGGAATAGCATCTCAAACAAAAATGCTCATCACATGTACATCAAAGTGCGAGGAAACAATGGAAAACTGGAAACCTGGTCTGTGTTCAAGATTCGTTGTCTTGGCAATAGCTTCTCAAGAACAATATAATAATCGCACCATTACTTGTTCACTCAGACTCAGTGTGAGGTAAATAATAAATCTACTTACAAAACCAGAATCAGCTGTTGTAGATTTTATGGTTATTTAGCTACACTGAAGAAGGGCCAACTTATTATGAGGCTTTTGATAGTGTGAAGTTCACTTTCGAGGCCTGTTTTAACTTTCTGAAGACTGTGACTATACTTGGCTGTGAATGGTGAATACATCTGATGCGTGTAACATTAATAATAAGCCAGACATACGGGCGTGGAGCTCCGTCGACGCTGGCGCTGGGTGATGTCCGGTGTGCTGGACGTCACTCTCCAGCGGTCAGAGCAGCGGTGATGAGGCTGGTGGGCGCACAGGGTGAGCGGACTGGCTGAGGCCGAACGTGGGCAGAGAAGAGAGTCTGAGGAGGAGAGCGAAAAACAATTAAAGCTCGTCACCATTCACACCAGCGCGCTTTGATGTAACTACTGCGACATAGATGTGAAACTAACGTTTAGTGTTTTTTTCCAACTTACGACCATCTTTGCCATTGCTGAGAACACTGGCAGCGCTGCGGCTCCGAGCGAGGAAAGACAGCGTCGGTGTCATCAGCCGGTCCACTATACTGCTCTCCCATGGGCTCAGTGCAAGGCTACGGGCTGCAGGTAGGAAAAACAATTAATCAGTGTGTCTTTTTCAGTTAGCTTCACCGGTAAGTGTTAAACGGATGTCCTGAACCAGAGCTCCGTCACCAGCTCAAAAGTCATGGTGAAGCCTGCAGTGTTACAGTAAATTGGGCTCTTTTGAGGGATTTCTCTCTTTCTTTACCCCACACAGCACTACATTTAAAGTCTAAGATTTGTCACAAGTAGGAAATGAAAAGAGATAGTGTCTCAAGGTTATGTTTCTCACATGTAGGAATTTATCTCCAAGCCATAAGGACCTGATAAAATACTCATAATCATAGTAAGACACCCAAGTGCCACCCAAGCAATTTATGAGGAGGAGAAAAAATTAGGCCAGTAAAAGTGTCCACTATAACCTTGGGCTCTACGAGTACCACCCAGGAGGGAGAGAGGTATTTGAAATGCTTGTCTAGACAGTGACTTAGGTATTTATAACCACAGCCTTGAGCATACAAGCAAAGAGGAAGACTGGAGACTCATCAGTATTTATTTGGCAGAGAAATGTTCTTTGCTGTCTGCAAGGTGCAGGATGAGGAAGATGTTACACTGAATGTTCACAGAGTGTAATTGTGTTGGTGGGGTAGAGAGGAGGGAGGCAAAAGGGACCCATCTATTTTTTCCAGCAGCAAAAAAAAGGACAGTACCTGCTCCGGGGAGTTTTCAGAATACATTATCACCTAAGAAAATGCTGACTCACCGACTCACTCACTTACTTACAACTTTACTTTTTTTTTTTCAAACTCAAAAGTTTCCCCTTTGCAGGAGTACACCATGACCCGGTTAACTGCAGACCTATAAAAAGCTGCACATATCTTCAGCATTCAGGAAGGTTGTTGATTCAAAGACAAAGTTGATTCCAAGAAACAAATGCCAAATCACACCATCTCCAAATCATCATTCACAAAACATTTAAGACACCAAGAAGACATCCTGTATCCTGTATGATGAAAATGAGAACAAAAGGACCATTCTGATTATGCAAACGCATCAGGAATGAAATGGCCAATACCACACAATGAGCCACTAGAGGATAGGAAAAGGACACTCCCATATAGCAATGAGCATGCAGGGCATGTCAAACAAAACACCAACCCAAAGTCTGGAAAGTAAAATAAAATAAAATAAAAACTCGAGATGGAAATGGGTCAGCCGTCAATCATCAAGCACAAGAGAGGGACTGAAATCAGAAAGGGGAAGAACTGAAAAAAATAGAGGACAATGATGGACGGGTTCGGAGGTGTTGGCAGTGGCAGAGTGATGGACACATTGAAACAGGAGCGGGGCATTCCACATGTTGCCTTACTTCTGCTGGGGGAGTTCCAGAGCGTGGCAGAGGACTTGGAGAGTCGCTTGTTTATAACAGAGTCCACTTGTTTGGGCAGGTTGACCGTTGAAACAGAGCATCTGCCTAAGAAGCCAAGAGAGCGCCATACAGATGTTCACACAGGTCACATGATTGAGAGGAAGAGGAGGAACTCTGTGGCGTCGTGTGTTATGCTTCGATGATACCTTTACAAACATATGCCCGCTGATGGTAAAGGCAGCTACACTAATGCATCTCATAACATCCGATTCCTGTGTGCTGACCGTATCTATAAATATATCAAAACTGAATGACAGTACAACATCTGTTCACCTCAACCAGCGTTTAAGTATGTAGACAAGCATCCGTGGCACAGAGCACGTGTTTCAGAAATTACATTTCATGATTTTACAGTTCTTTGTTGGTATTCTCTGCCAAGTTTCACTTCAGCCAAATGACAAACAATACCTTCTGTCTAACATTCTGTGATGTTTACTATGCAGATAGCTTTGGTTTTAATTGTCCAGGTTTTGACACAGATGAAAAATACTCATCTTTCTTTACACAGCACTATAAGAAGTCCATGCTACGATAAAAACAAGAGTTCTGTCTCATATTTCTGCTTTTAACACAATAGAATAGAAGTGAGGAAAAAAATTTGATTTTGTCTGGTGCTGCTAACAAGATTAAAAATCACAGCACCTTTTATATTCGTGTCTACTGACACTATTTCTTTGGTGCAGAAGTGAAAACTGCTGCGATAGTAGCAACAATTATGGATTAACAATAGTAACCTGGACCTCTTCTAAAGAAATGATTTATTAAAAAGATTGTTTAATGTCACTTTTCAGTCCTGAGAGTCCAAACTAATTGTAATCTAACCTCACTAAGGTAAATGAGAAAATACATGTTTGCTGTCTTTCAAAAAATAAAAATAAAAAACTGAAATATTCACAAAAGTTTACACCTACAAGTGCATCTAGGTCAAAACCAATTCAGAAAAGCATGAGATCCATTATTAACCACCTTGTCAAGCAACCAACACAAGCCCAGTGAACAAGGAAAGGCACATTAAAATTGCCATAACAACCAAACAAGTAAAGTAGCTGATCGGAAAATATCCGCTCATTTCAAGGCTGGTGATGTAAAACTGGCACTTCAGAAAAAAAAGCAAAACCTTGAATCCTTGAGACAATCCATGTCCAGAACTTGCATCTGTCCAAATTCTACATCCCTTTTTTTTTTTAATACTCCAATCAACAAAACACACTCTTTCCCCAAATGGCATGATTCAGAGAACATTGTGGTAATGGAGATATGGCATTAAAGCAGGCCAAGCATGAATGTCTCTGTTCAATTGCGCAAAGCCAGTAGGTGACGCAGAGTTCTCCTTTGATAGAGGCCAAGACGGGCGCTTCGAAACATTTCCCAAACAACACCCTGAGCTGTCAAACTATCCACTGCAGCCTGGTTACACTTGCTCTCATCATCTGACAGACAGCAGGCGGGCGAGGGAGGAAAGAAAGGGGAGATTGATTTAAGTGTCAATAATTCCCCTGGCATATGGCAGAGGCGATTACACGGCATGAGACGGAACTCAGGACACTCCACAGTTAGAGTTTCAACCCTATCAATCTGCACCGCTGAAACATAATTTCTACACCATTACCGAGCTTCTGCAGCTATTTCAGACTCTGATCTAATTGGCTGTTGGGCAGTCAGGACATTTATTAATTTAAATTAGGCACTTAATAGACAACTAATTTAATTTTGTTGCTAGTCGATAGAACGCTGCTCACTGCAGCAGCTGCAATAAAAGCAGCATTTTCACCTTGTGTAATCAATACAGTCTGGTCAGGGGCTTCTAACCCTGCAGTAATGTTTAGGAGACAAACAATCAGACAGAGCAGCAGGGGAAATGGTGATGAGGAGTGTCACTGATGCAGTAAAACACCAGGCAGAACTCCTGCCTACGGACCGGCCGACATCATGTGCCAACCCCAGTGATCTGCATCCACTTTGCTGTTGAGATGAAGAAGCAGCGATTCATCTGTGCGATATGATAATGCACCCATTAATGCTTCACATCTATCTACATGGTTTAGTTGTTTTATTGTGGAAGATGTTTCACAGATTAAACCTTTTATTGCAGCAAAACAAAAAGAAAAAAAATGTGATGTTTGGTCAGTTTTCAATTGCTTGTGTGTTTTTGTTCAATTGCTTAATCAAAAGTATTTTTGATCCAAGCGTAATTAATGTTGTAGGACATCCAGCTGAAAACAAACTTTCTATCATCAACATCAGAGGTTTTTGGCGCTGAAACTCAAGAGTCAGAAATGATGAATAAACACATCGATAGACAGACTCATAAGGTAGTTATTCTTGACAACAAATCGGAAAAGATGTTGTAAGGATATGTATCCAGGTAGCATCAGCGTACTCACCTTCTTTCTGGCTCGAGTTCTGGTTTAATGCGCCGGCCCATGACCATCTCTGCTGACGGATTTCTGCCCACGTCTTCTTGGTTGACCTGTGGATTGCTGCCTCATAGCGTTCCTGGACAGGATACAAGAACAGACATCTCTATAATGTCTAATGCATTACAGTTCATATGCAAGGGTGGTATAGGACACCCTTCAACTGACAAGCCTGGATTCTAGCACCCTGTCTGGCTCAAGTGTCCCTGAGTAAAGCCCTAAATCCCCCCCATATGCAGCTGACCCAGTTCAGGTGACATTCCAATGAAGGAGGTCGTTCAGTTTATTACTGCAGTGTAAGAAAGATGTCAACGTCCCCTCTGCGACTGAAAAACTACTAAAGCATCGTTCTTTTACATGCATCACTAAAACATAGCCTGTGTTCTCGTCCACACATACTTTGTTCTTCTCAAGTTTCTGTTTCTGTCTCTCTTCCAGGGCTGCTCGTCGTTTTTCTGCCTTAATCCGCTGCTCCTCGAGCTTCCTGCGGCGTTCCTCCAGCTGCTGCTCCCTCAGCTGCCGTGCCTTCTCCTCCTTCTCCAGCCACTGGGTCTTTTTGGCAGCTAAAATCGGGGAAAAGACATGGTCAAGAGAGAAATATTCTGCAGAATGGGCGTTAGAAAAAACAGTCCTGCCTCAGTTTCCTTTTTTTTTTAAATCAAAATACTGTAGGTACACGTATCCTCATCGAGGGGTCTGTTAGTTTTGATGCAACCTTGTGTGGTGTTTGTATCTGAATGTCAGAACTTAAGGCAAAAATAATATAATAGGTTGAAGGTTTACAACAAACAGTTGAAGCTTGAAGAAAATATGCCAGAAGCCAAGCAACTCTGATGTTTACTTCACATGTAAAGCTGTCTTTGAAAACAAATTGCCCTTTCACTCAGTCCCCTTTTCAGTTTAGAAAAATAAATTCAATTACTTGACTTTTCCTCAGAACACTGCATAATGCCAAGTCAGGTGGACACCGTACTTCTGAAGTGACATTTTTATGTCACACTAATCGCATCAAGCTTGCATATCAGCTTCAATAAACCACACACTTTCATATGGAAATCATCTCTTTGTCCCTGAGCCTTTCAAAGAGGGCGTAAAGACGCCCTTTGCAGCTGCTTCTCTGTGTACACAACTCACCATATTTCTTGAAAGTACAAAGAAAAACCTCCATGAAGAATCAGCCTCTGCAATGAGGCAGAGCTTAGCTCTCTAAAGCACTTGATGCAACAAAAATCAACTGGTTGTGTATTTCAGATTACGGTGATGGATAATTGTAGAGATGCTGAGGGGTTAAAATTTATGGGGAGGCACACAGTTTGGCTTCTCTCTGTGAATGGAACCGAAAGCTTAGTTAAACGAAGGCACTGCTTGCCAGCACCTTGCAGCAGAGAAATGAACTGCTGCAGTGCGTATCTCAGCTCATCGGAGCTTGATGGCCTCGATTTCAGAGGCGCCTCAGCTCTACCTCTCAGTTTTAGGGGATGGTGAGTAAAACGCAGCGGAAACAGCTTCATAATTCACCTACTGAACTGCAATGAGCACAGAGGGAGGGGAAACCGCATCACCCTCTTACAAATACAAGGCTCGCTAAGATCATTTACAGTTTTCCATATACATTTACTTCATCCTCACAAGAGGAACGGTTAAGTCATGTATTTATTGTAATAAAACTGTGCCCACTTTTTCCAAACAAATCAAACCTGCCACAGTGTGTGACACTTTGCTGAGTGAATCTGTGAATTTGACTCATTCAGCATCGACGTGTGGTAATGGTTTTCCAGAACATAGGTGCTGTTTGCAGGAGAAAATGAGCTAAAAAGAACTGGCAGGGCCTCCATAGTTAGTTAAATGGCTTTCAGCTTATGAATTACACATTTCCAGAGTCCTATGTAAAATCAGTCACTTATGCAGCTACTTCAGAGCTGTAAATGGGGTCTAAATCTGAACATGTACAGCAGACATTACTTTAAAATGCATTCCTCAACTCTCTCCTGACAGTGATGAGTGCTGACAAACAGCATCCAGACCGACAACAGTAAGGTCATTAAATAGGCATTACCAAAGGGCTGCTCTAACCCTGCTACATGAAGTATTTATACCTCCCCACCAAAGATAGACAAGGCAGGAGGGTTGCTCTTGTGTGTTCCAGATGTAACTGAAACAAAACTGATCTAATAGGAGAGAACCTAGAATATGTAGAAATTGAACCTCCGCTGCTAGAAAAATACCACTGCTGATGTAGTATGGCCAAGATCTCCTTTAAGCTGATATTGTAAACACAAGCTTTGGCAAGATCTCATCTTTTATCCCAGTCTGACTGAGAGTATTAGATTAGACCCATACCATCTGGCATGCCCCGGTGATCGCCCAATTAGACTGATCTACAGCATGAAGTGTGTCACACTCATCTTACTGCCTTTGAACACACAGTTGGATTAGACAGCAAGGCTCAAACTACAATCACAACTAGTTAAGCGGAAACCTGCATCATGTGAGGGTTCAGGATTATACATTAATTGTGCTGTTTGTTGCAGAAATGTTCAAAATCTGTGCAAGCAGGGAAATACATAAGTCACCTCTGCATCTAAACAAGGACACACTTACTGATATAGTTTAACCCTAGTTGTTGTTTTTTTTTTGCAGATTGTTTGTCTATTTGGCAACAATAACTTGATATAATTTCACAGCCAAGACAAATCTGGCTTCAAGCATCTTCAAAGCCCTTCAATTTCTTCAGTAAGCTGGTAATCGTAGCGGTTTTGCGGCATGTGGTTCAAATGTGCTATCTTTAAATGCAAAATCCAAAGAGTTTTGCGGTGCCTGCAACAGGAACATGTGGATGAGCAGAGTTCAAACTCAGGGCAGGCTACGCTGTCATACATTCTGAGCTGTGAACCGCTGCACCCTATTAATTAACTTAACATTCACACAAAAATGATAGTTAAGTGATCAGTCTGTGGCTACGTGATTGTTGTGAAAGATGTACTGATGATGTTTAGAGAGTAAAACGGCTAAAATTAGTGGAGCTTGTCATGGTAAAAACAAACATATCCATGTTCTTTTTAAGTAAAGAAAAAAAAACACCATGAGGGGGGAATGAATGAAACAGCTCTAGGGCTGGGCAATATGACCAAAACTCAATATTCTAACTCCTAAGCATATAGTGATACAGTGATGATGACCAAAAAGCTTTTAGATATTCAGTTACTGACAGATTACCACTCGTTATTTTCCATGCTTCTTTCTCTATAGAAAAAAACAGCATGATGGAAAGATAAGGAGAAAGCATGTGATAAAAGTTTTTGTCCTTTCTTTCTCCAAATTTCAGTCTGGATATGTTTCTGGTGTATTGCCCAGCTCTAGTTAAAACTACTGAACTTTATTAGGCGGAGACATCCAAATTAAACAGAATGATCCCACAGGGTCTTCACCACCACCACCACCACCACCATCACCACATAAACATAGGTGAGTGGCTTACCTTGTAGCTTGTTGAGCTCTTCTGCAGGAGGAAAGGGTGAGAGAGAAGACAGAGGCAACTGTCAATCATGCAAAGCAGTGCACGACCAGTGTGTAGCCGGGTGACAATGTGACAGCCGTGTGTTAAACAAAAAAAAGTAAAGCGTTGGAGATGCGATATCAACTGACACGGAAAGCAGAGGAGTGTCATTTGATCAAACTGCATCGGTATAAATTGTAGAAGATGCTTTCTCTGCTTTCGTGACTCATCGCTGTTGCACGAGCCAAATTTTAAGCCATCGGTCAAATTCATCACCGTCAACGTCCATTTTTTGTCACTTTTTTTGGCAATTTGATGAATATCTGCATTTAATTCAAATTGCATTACATTTCAGTGTATAGATGAGCTAAAGCAATGGCCAAAAATCATACAAAGAGGCAGTTGTTTTGACAGTGCTCAGAACTATTGCAGCATGCAAGCAGAAAATGGACGCTCACTTGTCTCTGGTAAAATGGTTCCAGGGCTTCTGCTGATTCTGGTCAGTTTTCAGCAGAAGTCCAAACTACCTTTTCTTTTATCCTTTCCAAGTGTTTGTGCATGCCATCTGCAGCCTAGCGCCAACCCAGTAGCAAGAACTACTGCTAATAATACTAACAGCAACAACCTCTTCCACCCCAACACCAGGGGGAGCTCTCTTCCTGTGTAAAAGGTTTGTCCTCCCACCCCTTGTTCCCACTTACCGAGGTATTTGGCCTTCTCCTCCCTGCGCTCTTTTGCAAGTTTTTGCCTTTCTTCTGACTTTACGGCATCTGGGATGAGAATGAGGGCAGGAGAAGGAAAAGAAACACAATGAGGACATGAAATAGAGAAGCGTATCAGGTCCGATCCTTCAAATCACATTTCAGATGTTACTGAAAATAAAAAAAAAACGATGTTGGACTTTTCTTTGTTTTCTTGCAGGTCAAGAAAACAGTTTAAAAAGAAGGTTTTCTGCTACAAAACCAAGACACAGTAGTTTAATTATTGAGAATTGTTGGCACTGCAGGTGGAGATTCATTACATACATTCACATAAATACACCAGTATTATTAAAAAGCTCTTACTAAGAAGTCAGTTTAAGCCGGCTGGTCAAGCAGACCTGACCTGCAACACTCCCCTGAAGGAAACTTGCATTACGTAGAGAATCCTTAATCGTGTCAATTTCTACTACATCTCTACTATGGGATGAAACTATTTGTCTTATTATTATTTAGTCTTTCTAAAACAACAGTTGCATTTCCAACCCCACCTCGACTGAGAGCTTCCTTGATGCACCTGCCCTCTGATAAACACAAATATGAGTAAATGTTTTTTCCAGTGCCACCAAGTCATCACGGTAAAGGCGTTTAAACTTTAAATATCTCCACAAGGAAACGCATGCCACAAGACAATGACAGGAAACTGGCAACGTCAACATTTCAACACGGATGCTGAACCCGGAGCTGAAGCTCACGCGTTCTTTTATTTTCTTGGTTAAAAGAAAAACCTTAAGAACAAATGTCTGAAGAAAACTCTGCAGGCAAGCCAATCTCCTCACAATGAAAGCTGCTGCACGTGGCAGGAACACTAAATCTCCTATGCCATCTGGATGTGGGTGTATGTTTGACTCTGATATGTTGCGGCTCGAGGGGAAAACCTACATATACTGTGTCTCCTCTCTGTTTGACATCCCTGACGTACGCTCACACTCAACATTCCTTCCAAATACCGCAGAGGAAATATTTAGTTAAAGAAAGCAGAACGGAAGAGCGGTACAAGTCTATAGACTGTCATGCCGTGTCAAGAACTGAACCCACATTTTTTTTTTTATTATAGCTGGTGGTACTTACTGGAAAAAAACAGTGATTCTAATAAATCAAAAGCACAGTTTGTCTTAGTTTCAGCTCTAGTTGTAAACATTTTTTTTGCACATTCTTTGGAGGATATACAGTTCAGTTAATCAGTACAATTTACTGGCAACAGATATTTAAATACTGTGTTTAGAATATTTTTTGTTCTTTTAACAACACATTTGAAGACATCACTTTGGGCTCTGGTAACTTTCTGATACGCAGGTTTTGATTTTTGATGGCATTGTGGCCAAACTGAGCAAATAAATGAACAAAATAATAAATCAAATTATGGAAATTTTATTGGAGCTCTATCTATAACACACAAATGATCACAAAAAGTATTCATGCTTTATCATCAGTGTAATATCTTATTTCATGATAAAGTATTTCAACTGGGCAACCATCATTTTTGACTCTTTGAAGTGTATCATTAGGTTTCCAGACATCATTGGATGATTTCTCTATTTATCAAATATACACATAATATTGTTGCAGTCTACCCAAATTAGTATACTTGATACCCACACTGATCAAGATCACGTGAAATCATAAATAGCATATACAGTAAGCTTTCAGTGTAACTACGTCCCCGACTGGGAAACACCGACACAGACGGCACTCTTGATCTTTCTTGAGCCTTTATGTTACATCATCCCCCCTCAGTCTTCACAGACCAGATGTTCAACATCAACCACAAAGGAACTCATCCTTCAGCAGCATCTAATAGGAGGAGGCGTGTATCATAAACACGACAACAATCTGCCACGCGGCCGCCCATAAGAACAACACCTGACCCACTTTGATATTTATAGGATGATGGAGAAGCCATGTGCACCGACTTGGTCAGTGTGATGTGCTGCTGTTTGCAACTCACCAACGTGTTAATCATAACATCACATGCACAAAGCGTCAGTAACAAAAGCAGAGTTGCCTAGAAAACACTGGTAAGTGCAGTGTCTGGACTCTAGACTGTTCACACATGCTCTTCTCAAAATGTCACCTCTGTTATTTGTTGGCGTCTAAATTAGGGTACAAAAGAAGTAGTGTCGGGTATACTGTGAAGAGTGATGTAGCAAATTCCAGTAGGCACACAAGCGAGACAGAGAGGCATTCCACTGTGTTAACAATTTGGTATCTGTCACTATTTATATTCAGCTGTGGCTGAGCGTAGCAGCGAGCGATTTCTGACACCACCTACACGAGGAGGTTTTCTTGGACAAAAGCAAATCTGTGTGCTGTCATGGGAAAAAGTTAGACAAAATGCAAACAGGCAGACCATAAGCAGCAGCTCCTAACAACAACCCTCTCCATTTCATTTTACTAATAGTGGGGCCACAGAGAGCTGTTCATCTTCACTGTATCCCTCTGAATGGTGTAAACGCAGTAAAAAATGAGCTTTAAAAGAAATCAAAATAACCTACTCAGGAAATACTTTTTATCTGGAGACTAAAGACTTAACCACACTTCTGCAAACTAGCTAAGAGTACTTTTTAAGTCTTGATATAAGTGATCTGGCAAAGCCCATATGGAGGTATTCGACCTGGCAGTATTGTAATAGTTTTGGGAGCAGTTTGGAACTGGTTTATCCCTGTCACCTCACGCTAAGGGAATAAAGACCATGACCACAGTGAATGGATTAATGGATAAAGAATAAAGAGGAGAGAGAAAAGAGGCTTACACTCTTAAAAACCCTCAAACATGCTCCTTAGAGTTTGCATGTGCTGTTCGCCAGTGACTATAAGAAGTTCAAGTGGTGGGATTGAGCAAACAGCTATGGTCAAACTAAAGGCCTTCTTGGTATCACTCAGACAAATGGGATTGTTGCTCAGGTTGTCTCTGCCTAGCTTTAATGAGGAACCAGCGCATGGCAGTGATCGTCATTAGTTATCCACTTAGCAACAGAAAACATTTGTCCACATTTTTACAAACCTAATTCTTCCGATGCAAAGCTGCAATACTCTCACATCTGCTGCGCCCTCTTCCAACGCATAAGCACTAACTGCAGCCACAATATTGGATTCTGTTTCACGTCTGAAAGCATGCGGTCACGATTGCTCCAATACTGCTACTCAAGAGAGCCGACCTAACTAGAACAGAGTGCAGATGTAATTGCACCATTATCAGAGTGCTGCCTCAAGTCAGGCCAAACTCAGCCTCCATTATAAGTTCTAACTTATGCAAGTGAACTCTATCCAAGCAACGTGGATGCTTTAAACGTAAAACTTTTTGTTTACCTCTTTTTGACCTGGGGACTGGAGATGCCGGCGACGCAGGTGATCGAGGGATGATGTCAGATTTTGTGGGGGTCGTCAGTCTTCGGTCTAAATCTTTCTTGACCGGAGAGTCCATCCTCTGAGTGTTGTCTGTCTTCAACGGGCTGCTTTCCCCCTCCGGGTCAGGCCTCGTAGGGTTCGAGTTGAGAACTGAGCAAGGATCTGATCCAAGAGAAAGACACAAAAACAAAAGAGCGTGAACGAAGAAGTGCAAAACTCAACCGGTTTATCTTCATTCCATTTACTGCTGAGCCTATGAGGTAGCTCGGCGTGGGTGACGTAAACTTCCTCAAGCATGAGGTGGAGTCGATGACTACAAGGAGAAGACTGTTTTCTATCAGAAATTGTCTTCGGTCTGTCGTTTTTCTGAACTCAAATTTCAGCATCGTGACAAAGTAATGACACAGAACACCACAAAAGAAACCTACTGTTTTTCTGTACAATGTTTCTTTCAACTGTTGAGCAACATTATCTGCAGCAGAGATTACACCACTTGCTCAGAAGCACAAGACAATAGGTACACAGCCTCCATTCTGCACCTAATACCATTTCTACACTGTGCGACTGATTTATCGACAGACTGGCCTGAGCAAAAGGCCCAAATCCCTGGCAGAATAAAACACAGTAATTGCTTTTTGGCATCCTGATGATTCTATTCAGGGGAAACGAATTGCTTAGAAAAACAGAATCAGAGTGTTCGCCTACGCCGAAGTAGTTAAATTTCTTTTTGATTAAAAACGACTCAATAGCAGCCAGTCGAGGCTCAGCAGTCATCTGTACTTTCCGAGATTCTGAGAGTTTTTTGATAAAAAGAATAGCTGGGCTGGTTTGTTGGGACTGCGGCTTCACTCACAGCACCATGACTCACATTTGGCAGGCTGCTTAACTTGAATCTCCTACTCAAACATTAGTTTGCCCAGGCTTTGACAGCCAAACAAAGACCCTCATGGGAGCGACACTTGGCTTTGTCCACTCAGCACTGTATCCCTGCGCTCCCCGTGGAACCATGTTGGGGCACAGTTTCTTCTGCATAGTCTCTGAAGGTAAACACTGGGGCAACATGCTGTAAATTGTTCAGACCTTGGCTAAAAACAACACAGACAGTAGGGGGCTGTCACACCAAGACAGTAAGTGCACTGAAGATTTACTATACAAATGCTGTGCTATTCAACAGTTTGCATAGAAAAGCACCAATGTGCAGCAAGGCCAATTCTGTGTAAATTCAAAGAGAACTTATTATAGGTCCCTATAATGTGTGCAATTGTGCAGTGTGCTTGTACTGCTTGTTTTTTTTCTAAACAAATCCTTCTTGTGAGCAAAACTCTGATTACTATTAAGGAGTATAAAGCTGGACAAAGTTCTGTATGGACAGTTGTCAACATCTCACTACTGCAACTGCAGATGCTTAGAAGCATTCAGCAAGATATCAGACCTCATGGCAAAGATTGTCTGAGCTCAGCTCGGCACATGGAAAGGCTATGTCATCAGTCTGGGAAATGGAGTCTGCTGCCGATGACCCTGAGTTGAACAAAGCCTGATGGGCAGTAAGAGTCTATGAAAGAGTTCAGCTGGCAGACAAGACGTTGTGTTTCCATTGTCAAAGCCTGCCACTATTAAATAAGCATTCCTGGGGCAGCAATGTGCTGTGACAGAGAGGGGCCATTGTTGTGGTCTCTGCATGGCAACGGGACAGCAGCCAAAACACTGCAATGACAGCGAGAGGGGAAAGGAAGCCGGGGGGATGGTGGTGAGATGAACTGAAAGTAGAAGATGAACACTACAATCTATTCACTGAAAGTTTGTAACAAACTGCATCTCAGTGTGAAAAACACTAAGAGCTGTAGCCAACTGTAAATTTGGGAAAGAAATTATAATGGTCTACAAGAGCAAAAAAAAATAAAAATAAAAACATGGCAACTGGGGTTTGTGACTAACTTCCAGTCCTGCGTCCAGGAAGAATTTTTCACAAGATTTAATAATCAACCAAATCCCTGCAATGTTTTTGTGGACAAATGATGCCACACAGAACCTCAGGCGTCACACACACTCCTCAGGTAATGAATCATATAGCGCTCGTCTTGGAATTTACCATCCAACACCATTTTCTCAGAGATCCCTGAGGGCAGATATGACAACTAGGGTTACCAAAGGTGGTAGGAGCGAGTGCAGCTCCGACAGATGAGTATCGTGTTGCCTCATATCTTGTGAGCACTTTCCCATACACCTGGGAACTGGAGACACAAAGACTTGACTGGCTGACAGGACTGTGTGTGACTGGTCAGACAATTACAGTGATCTATATAGTCAATGATGAAGAGAATGAGAGCGTAACATACTCTGGTATGTGGGTAGCACCGTCAATGAATACCAATGAAACCTGAAGCTCTCTGGAGGGAAAATGGGATGGGAGCTGAGGGAGAGGACCGCTGCAGCGTGGCGGGGGACTGAAACAAGGGCTGATTGAAGTAGCGGTTTGACTGTCTAGGCTGGTGATAGATGACTGGGAAAATGTGTGAATAAAAGTTTAAGAATGTAAGACGAAGTTCAAACTATGTCTGTAAGTCACATTTAATTTTCTCATCAATTATTCAGCATACTGCTTGTTTAATCATTTAGGGAAGACAAACTGCAACAGTAAATGCCAGCAGACTGTAAAAATAACTGGTGCATAATTGTCTTGAAATAATCAGAAGAGTCAACTCTTCTTTTCATAACCACCAGCAGTTGGAAATGTATACCTTGTGGAGTTGAAGCGATCCAGATACCTGCAACTGCACTATTCCGCTGATCAACAAATATGGACATAAACGATGCACAATTTTTTTTATTACGCATTTTTTCTTTTTTAAATCGCCTTGCAAATGTCTTCTAAGGAGTGAAATACATTAAAGTCAGGCCTCAAGGATACACACATTATATTTTGAACAGGAAGTCTGAATGCCAGCATAACTTTGTTTACAAGAAACCTGCACAGGTTACATTAAACTAGCAAAGAAGTATGCTAAGTTGTTGTTGTTCATCTCAGGACTTTTGCCTGTCCTCTGCTGAAGCTGGGATACATCAGGTGTATTTGGAAAACTGTCCACCCGGTGACCCCTTACAGCAAACAAGACTTGGACACGGTCATACAGCGCTTTGAGGAGAATGCTTAAGTAATATTTGCACAGAGATGTACTGAATGAAATAACAACATCTATGCCACTAATCTAACTCAGCAATCTATGAACTTTGTCTTCTGGCTGTTCTGAAATAATAAGACTAAAACAAGTTAAATTACCCAGTTGTTCTCATTTGGTGTGTTTCTGTGTGAAGTCATTGTGAAAACAGAAACACTGGCCTCAATCCATCATATTTATACATCAACAGAGGGAGTAAACCACAGGAGGTTGCTTGTGTCACCTCAGTAACTACCTTCTTGCCATATTTACACTCCAGCTTCCCGGAGGAACTGCACCCAGGAGAGGACTACAGCCAAAAGCCATTAGACCACCCTCTTGTGACATCACTTACATTATTCATATTCAGAAATCAATGCGCATCAGCCTCCTCTGAGATCCCGGAGTCTCCACCAAGTCTGAACATGGAAAAACACTTTGGTGGATCTTATTATTGGAAGACCGGGGAGAAAAATACGCAGGACAAACATTTGGCCAGTATTTCACAAGCCTGATAAAATATCACCACAGTTCGAAGGTTTAGTGTGCGTCACCAGCCTCTCCGTTCAGGTCCTGTAAAGCGAGGTCTTTCTTATCGGGGTCCATGGGTTTATTTACCTTGCCACATTTCAGCATTCGTCCTGTGTTTATTATCTCATTGTTTGCTAATATATAGATAATATTGGCGAAAACCTTAATATTTTAAACAAGTTTTTCAGTGCTTTTAGTTTTACATAGAGGACACGATCATCCAAAAGCTTCTCCTTAACATCATCTCTTACTCATAGTAGGAAGTAAATCATTCCTTATAGCAACTAGAAGCTGTAATGTCCTGCTACGGTCGCGTTGTTTTGCTCTCCTCCTGCATATCAAATGGGTATTTGACAACCAAGGGACCATACAAAGTAGGTCAGAGGAGGTTCAGGAATCTGTGGCACGCTGTGCGTGATCATTGGTTGAACATCACACCGTCACCCTCCACCACGGCTCAGTTGGCCCCATCAGGTCTCCCAACGGGGCCTCTCCAGCTGCAGGTGTCAAACAAAGCCCCAAGCACACAGTCAAACCCATTTGCATGCAAAAGTGATACAATGGTATAAGATATCTGTAAAAGTCAGCAGAAATGCTAAAGGAACCCCTGCAGAAGTGGGTGTAAACACGCATGCATGAGCACAGTGTGGGCGCAGAGCGGCAGGTTGAGAATCAGCAGGCAATTAGCATCCACCCAGCGCCATTCCTCTGTCAGGGATATGTCACTTTGGACAAAATATATAGTATGTGGAACTTTGAGTGTTGATTTGGAAAAATGTAGCACCGTTTCTGAAAAGCTCATTGCACATTCACTCCCGGAGTATAATTACAAAAGAGTTTAGTGCTTCGCGGCTCGGCTGATGACATTGCGGGTAAGGGGCCAAGTTAAAACTGGGACAACTGGTAATACTGCTACACAAAATGTGATTTAGCAGAAATCCAATTTCACAGCATATTACTTTGTTAGCGCAGGTTTATAAATACCCACACTGCAGAGTCTGTTTCTTCACATAGTGCCCCAGTGCTACTTAATAGATAATCGCCTCTAAAACCACAGGGCACAAAACCCTTCCAGTTTAATTATTTCAGTAACAACAGTGAATGAATATTATTTTTGTGACAACAATGAGAATATGATTGTAACAGCAGAGGTACGAGAGGCGATGTCCTTGAAACAGCAAGTGGCATTAAAACGAGTGCTCTTATATCTCGGTACAAGTGTATAGGCCAGAAGTGCATCTTTTCGACAACGTACCACACAGCTGTTCTTCTACCTGTCGATCAAGCATACAGGAGAAGTGTAAATCGGGGTGGCAAAAAGCTTGCGTCCTCTGCCGCAGAGCAAAACACATGACTCACTGTATGACAGAATCAGCAAACTATGACAGCACATTCTTATGACAGTGTTTGCTCATTTGCAGCTCAGGGAGGGATTCTTTCAGCTGAGAGCAGCAGTAAAATGTAAAAATGTGAAAC